AAAAAGAAGTTGTGTGTTTGTATACATATAGTAAATCTAGTATAGTAAATTTCAAAAATGGTCCTTGTGGTATGCATTTTTTGGGGGTTTCAGTCTAAACCTCGACTTTTTTGGATTCATGGTCCTTTTGGCTTAGTTTGTACGTAGAAATGGTCCTCTGACTTAACTTCCGTTAAGTTTTTGCCGTTAACCCCCTCATGTGCATCTCACATGAGGGTATATTTGTCTTTTCACATATAAAGGACCATTTTTGCACCTAAAAAATATATCCCATTTTTTTAAAAAAATAAAAATTAATACCTATTTATTTATTTTAATAATTAAAAAATAAAAAGGTCTCTCTCTCTTTCTCTCTCTCTCTCTCTCAACCCAAAACACTCCACCCATCTTCTTCTTAAAGTTCATTAACCTACATCTAAAGATCGATGAAGAACTATGAATCATATCTCCCCCACCATACCTATGTCTCTTCTGAGTCGCATCTTCCCCCTCATTTTTTTCTTTCTCTGATGAGACCATCTTCTGCCTTTGGCCAAGCCTTCACCAGCGACGACATCAACTTCATCCTCTTCAATCTCCACTGCATCTCCTGTACCCTGCACCTTCACCATTTGAACTACATCTTCTTCCTCTTGCCTCTCCACCAGCCACATGCATCATCAAATATACCCGTTATGACCTAATTGATTTGATAGTTAATATGTGTGAAATTAAGAACGGGATGGAGGGTGCCCTTTTTCTCAAGGTCGATGTGTGTTCCCTTTTTCTCAAGGTCAATCCAACCATCTTCTCTTTCATTTTTCTGTCCAATCACACGAAAAAAATCAATATCATCCCTTTCCCTTTCAATCAGCTTACAGGTGTGCGTGTGTGTGTGTGTTTTTTCTCTCTAGTCGGCCCGATAACTCAATAAGAATCAAGATAGATCTATTTGTGTTGAATTTGTAGGTCCAATTTAAGAGAAAAAAAGAAAAAGGAATAACAAGATGGGGGAGGGAACATGTGTTGGTTGTTTGGTGCTTCTTTCACATAGGTATCAATAATCATGGCTGGAATGGAGAATTAATTGTTGTATTGAGGCTGTTGTGAAGATGATGGTTAGTTTAGGGATGTTGGTGGTTAAGAATGGATTCTTGGTGGGGTTTTATCTTTTATCCTCCAAAGGAAAAAATTGAAGATGATTGTTAGATCATTCATCCCAAGTTCATCAGTTATGTGTTAGATCATTCATCCCAAATTGTTAGATCATTCGACAATTGACAACCCTCACAAAACCCATAACAGTGAACAAGGGTGGTGGTGTAAGGAGGTGGTGTTAAAATGTAGCAGCGGCGGTCTCAAATCAGGGTAGCAATGGTGTTACACTTCTAGGGGAGCGGAGAAACAGGTAGGAGGGTGGTGTCCTTCCATTTGAGTCTAAATTTCGAAAATTTTATAGGTGGGTCTCAAATCAGATTTCCAAAAATCAAACACCAATGTTCTTTCTAAATTGCATAACAAATCTAAAGGATTTGACTTTTAACCTAGAAATCGAATGAGGATTAATCTCTTGTATTCTGCCATAGCTTAAAATTTTGGAGAGGTTGAACTTCAAAGAAAAATTTATTTGTAGAACAGATCTGAAATCTGAAACTCTGATTTCTATCCCATCGTATTTTCTTTTCCGGTTCAATCTCTGTAAATCATTGTTGCTTTTCAAGCTTCAAGCTTTAAGTGTGTTTGTATGTGGCTTGATTTGCAGAAGGAAGATGTAATGAAGAAGACGATGTGTGTGTGTGTGTGAGAGAGAGAGAGAGAGAGAAAGAGAGAGAGAGAGACCTTTTTTATTTTTTGATTATTAAAATAAATAAATATGTATTAATTTTTTTTAAATGAGATATATTTTTTAGGTGCAAAAATGGTCATTTATATGTGAAAAAACAAATATACCCTCATGTGAGATGCGCATGAGGGAGTTAACAGCAAAAACTTAATGGAAGTTAAGTCAGGGAACCATTTCTACGTACAAACTAGGCCAAAGCGACCATGGATCCAAAAAATCGAGGTTTGAACTGAAACCTCAAAAAAATACATACCACAAGACCATTTTTGCAATTTTGTCAAAAATTCTTAAACACAAACTAAAATTGAAAACTTATTAGAAAGATACCCTTTCCATCACAAAAGAAAATAAAAATCTATTTTACTTGATAGATTGTTTCTTCATATATATTTACTTCCTATATTTTCTATATTTTGTGTCTACGTGTTTGTTTCTTTATATTTGAGTAGTAAAAGAAGAGAACGAAAAATATGCTATTTATATGAGAAGGTAGGATTATCGATTATGTAGGATAAAAACTTCACGTCCACCAAGCCTCTATTGTGATTTGGAGTCCAACATGCGATTCATGTGTGCATTCAGTATATTCCAAGCCCCTTTTTATCATAATAATCCAAGTCCCTTTTATAGTCCATGACTCCAAGCCCATCTGTCCATCCTATTAATAACCGCATGGCATCACACCACCTTTTAATAATTTGGACACGTGCCGTTCGTAATAATAAAAAGAGTAAACGAATGGTTAGTCTAAATAATAATAAATAAAGTTGTTAATTTAGCAAATATCATTTTAATTTTGTTAAATTTTTTAAAATGATGGTTTGGTTAACTTCAATAATTTAATAATTTTAATGATTAACTTTATTATTTATTAATATTTAGTTATAAACAACATAACACACAAAAAAAATATTTATATGAAATTTACAAATAGTTTTGAAATTAGTAAAGTATATTTGAATTGTTTATAATATTTATCTTAATATTATTAAAATAATAAACATGTTAAAAAAATAAAACAATTCTATGTTGAATAATAATATAACTTAAAGTAAGGTGAGAAGATTTTGAAAATGATAGTTCAGTGCTGCTCGCCCAACATACACGCAAATTTTTTTAAGTCAGAAGTCTTAAAAAAAGCCAGTTGCAAAATGTTAAGTAATTCATGTGTTCCGCAAGACACAACCAAAAACAGCCGAAAAATGTTTTTTAGGCTACAGGAAGTGGGGCGCTAGGAGGGCTAGCTACCCTTGCTGCATACATAGCCAGGGTGTTTGTTAGGAGCACCTTGCCATCAACTTAGCGAGAAGAGAGAGATGATGGATTGATGATTTCTGATTGGTTGTTGGCAATTGTTTTCATTTTTTTCCTCCAAAACCATATTTATTATATTAA